TTTTTTGGGAAGCTGGGCTGCAGGCTCTCTTGGAGACGCTTGATGAAGGCCCTATACATGAGAAAAGGGAGCCAACTGAAACAGAAGAAGTTTGCCAGTTGAGCATGCAGGCCTGCCCCCTTCAGTGTGTCCAAATCGTTCTTCGATCACAAAGAGTGGGAGCTTCTCGTACGTGTCCGTGGTAGCACGCTGGGCTTCCCTCAGACCCCAGTCAAACCACAAAAGTTCACCCCTCCAAGAAAAAAGATCAACAACTATTTTGACTTCCTCTCGACTACAAGGCTTGAGAATTTCAGGGGTTTATACTGAGGGCATGACTCCTGAAAGTAGACTTCTACTTCTACATGGTTCCTGAGTTAGCACCACTGCCAGGGTTCAATAAGCGGAGAAATAGAAGATACAGGGCCCAGACATTTGTGGATCGATCAGGAACTCTTTCAGGAGCTCGAAGCGTGCTTTACTCGAACCTGCGCACGCCTGGTACTTTTGCAAAAGTCCCGGTTTCAAAGTACCTGACTCCATCCTGCGACCAAGCTTGTTATACAAAGCTCTCCGCTGCTCAATCGGGATATCGGACTGGCTCATTGCACGGATCTTGGCTTTGGCAGCCTCATCCATGGCCCCAACCTTGGGTCCAGAATGCATTCACTGAAAAGAAGCCCTCAAAAGGTTAAGAGGACACCAAAGGGTATTGAAAGGTTGAGAGGTTGATCCAATGTGTCAAAAGGGAGATTTGTTTTGGAACCTCTTGACAAAGCCGCTGGACCGCTGAAGTAAAACAATCCGAGGAACGCCAATGGTCTTGCCATCTTCACCGCGGACCAGAACTGGATCGACCTGACCAATTTTTCGAGCTTTGCAGCTTGACATCAAGTATTGGCAAACAAGCCTTCTGCACTGACCCCAAGCCATCGCTGGCAGAGGAGAAGCTCCTGCTCCTAAGGTTTTGCAGAGGGTTGTAGAGCTGGCGGGATTCCAATATAAGAATACACGTATATGTTATATAGCAGCCTTGACTACGAAATAGATTGAAATAGACTGCAGACTAGTATCAATGAGTGGCTACGGCTACTTCCGTCAGTCGGCAGCGGGCTGAAAACTTTGGCACGCCTATCCGGCGTGATCAGGTTTGTTGCTGGCTCCAAGCTCTCACAGCTGGTTTTGGTGCGCAGCCGAACCAAAGACCCAGTAGTTGTCGGAACCACTCCGACCAGCTTCTTCTTTTTGGCCTGTCAACGAAAATCTGGCCCCCACAAGTCCCCAATTCATAGCTAAAAAACACAGGGCTTAGAGTGGCCAAAAAGAACTTGTGTGGGTCAGATTTCCATGGCCGATTTGAGTAGAAATTTACCACGCTGAGTTTGTCCGATGATTACCTTAGAGGTCAAAAGGACGTTAAGGGTCCTTAACGTCTGTATCAGCTTTAATCCTCTTGACATACCCTGCCTCCACCGCATTCTTCCTTTTTGCTTCTTCCTCACATTCTTCTTCCTCCTGCTCCTCTTCTTCCGGCTCCTCCTCTTCTTCTTCCAGCTCCTCCTCTTCTTCCTCCGGCTCCTCTTCTTCTGCCTTCTTCTCTTTTCTTGGTTTCTTCTTGGGTTGCTTCTCCGTCTTACCCTTCACTGCAGCTGCAGCTTCGAACTCAGCCTCTAAAGCTTTGGCTGCGCCCTTCTTACCACTTGTCTCTTCGGCCGGTGTCTCACTCTTCTTGCTGACAGGCCTTTTTCTCTTCGTGCTAGGCTCCTCAATCTCCTGTACCTCAGCCTCTTGCTTCTTCGCCTTTTTGCCTGTCTTCGTCTCTCGTGTTTCATCCTCAACCTCTTCTTGCTTCTTCTTCTT